TGGGGTTCCATGGAAGATTTTGAGGTAAGATTCCCCTGGATTCCCCAGGCCGGCCCAGGGTCACCACTGGGGGGTCTTAAAGAGAGAGGCAGGAGGGGCGGAGTCAGAGAAGGGGACGGGACAGCCCAGCAGAGGTTCCTTCGGAGGCCACGGGCCCAGGAGGGCAGGCCGCCTCCTGAAGCTGCCGCAGCCAAGGGGACTGTTCCCCCGGGAGCCCCCCGGGGTGGGGGGGACCCAGCCTGCCCACCGGTGTTAGACTTCCGACCCCCAGAGCTCCAAGACCGCGGATCTGAATCCGTTTGCTGCCGCCACTGGGGAAAGCGAACAGGAAATGCAAGTGGGATGCATGGACGGTCCTACCTCTGGGCTGGAACGGATCAAGACAATGTAGTGGCCAAGAGAACACGGCGTCCTGGGCTACATCACAGGAGGGAGGGGCTCCAGCGAGGGAGGCGGGGCGGCCCCTCGGCCCTGGCCCAGGCAGCCCCAGGAATGCCGCAGTCGCCCCTGGACCTTCGGCCCTCGGCCAGGGGTCCCGGCTCTGCAGAGAGCCCCATACCTTCATGCTCAGCCCCCGCCCCCATCGAACATCGTTGGCAAGGCAGACTTCACGCTTCCCTCCAAAACCCCTTTCTGCCCCGTGCCCAGCGTTCCTGCCTCCGTGACTGACACTGCCGCTCCACCAGATGTGGGGCCCCCCCCTCTGGGTGGGGTCTTTTCGCCTCCTGCACTTGCACCCAGCCCGTCGGCAGGTCCTGTGGATTCAGCTTCCAAGTGTATTCCCGGCCCCACTTGCCCCTCCCCTGGACACGACCCCGGCCTGGCTTCCTGCTCCCCTGCGCCGCCCCCCCCTCCCCCGGCCCCTGCAAACGGAGGAATGCCACACTGTGTCATGTGACGTCACTGACCCTCCAAAACCAGCCGGCCGCAGAGGTCCCTGATATCTCTTACTTCCCTGTCACCTTCCCTGTCACACCCCACGTCACCCACTCTGCTGCAGCCACACAGACCTCCTTCCTGTTCTCCCAGCCCTGGCTCCCCGAGGCCAGACGCTCTCCTGCTCACATGCCACCGGCTCAGGCTCCCTCCTTCCGTTCCCGAGAGTGTCCTGCCTCCTGCAGGCCCCCCTCTTTTCCCTGCCCGGGGTGGCCACCGTCTCTGTCACACTAGCACATTGTAGCCACCTCCACAGTGATATAGCATGCCTCGGTCTGCCGGTGCCAGAAAGGAAGGACTCCCCAGAAGCAGAGGCTGGCTGGGCTGGGCCTAGCTGTCCCTGAGCATCCGGAACATTCCCTGGAGCACGGTGGTGCTCAGTCAGTGTTTGTGGAATGCATGGATTGGTGAGAACACGTGTGGAGCTCATGCCGCGTGAGGAAGACGTGCAGGAGGCCCTGGGGGGTGTGCTCAGCTGGGAGACCTCGGGGGGTGCAGTGCGGAAGCCTTCACATTGCTGGGAGGCAGTGCCAAGGAAGGTGGCTCCAAAACCAGGACCGAGGGGCAGAAGCGTGGAGGAGACAGATTTCAATGCCTCCCAAAGACCATCTGCACGTGAGCGCTGGCCTGGGGCAGCATCAGTGGCCTTCGGAGGGAGAGAGCACCCTGTCACCGGAGGCATGCAAGCAGAGGCGGCGTGACTACCTGAAACAGCCTGGAACAAAAGCCCCTGGGGCCACGCCTGCCACGGGGCCATTGTCCCTGTGAGGTTTTCTGAATGCGTGAATAAATGCACGAGTGAACGAATACACGAATACTCGGATGAATGTCCCCAGAGGTCTAGGCACGCTGAGTAAGTGGCCTGAGTAGGGCGTGAAAAGTCCCTTCCCACCGGCGAGGCCACTGAGAATGCCTGGTGGTTTCTGACCATAAGCAGCGAAGATTCCGGAATGAGGTCTTGCTACCCCCAGCCCGACAGCCTGCTGGGGGAGGCGGGAGGAGAGAGAGGCACGGGGTGGCCGGCCCCGCCCAGAGCTACCCCTTGGGCATCCTGTCCTCGGGGTCTGGGGCTTGGGTCCTGCTCTGACCCCGACCAGGGACCTGAGACTGTGAGCAAGGCCCTCTCCCGCCTCTTGACCTCACAGCCTCGCCTGCGCACTGCGACCAGAATTCCAAATGTGCCCCCGCCGTGGGGTCAGTGCACAGGCCCCACGGAGCCGGGGCCGTGCCGGCTCCAGCTCAGCTGCACTAACCGTCTGTGCACAGGGCTGCCGAGCCCCCGGGCGCTCGCAGGCCCAGACGCCAACATCCCGGGGCCCATGTTCCCTCTGACCATGTTCCTGAGGTGAAGGGAGGGGGGTGAGGAAGGTGCATGCGGGCCTAAGGATGAATCACAACGAACTCAAGAAACAAGTCTAGGTCAGATATGAGTGGGAGCGCCAGCAGACTTACAGTAAACGCTGCCCTCCTCCCAGCACTGGCTGCTCTCAAGCTGAGTAATGGGCCCCCCCACTCCCCACCACACTCGCCTTGCTGTCCCGGCCTCGTGCAGGGAGGGGAGGCCTGGACTCAGGCTCACCCCACGCACCCCTCCCCCCCTTCCCATCAGGGGTCCCCTCTAGGGGCCCCTCTCATCCAGGTGGGCCTCCTCCTCCATGCAGGATGTGGAACCTGGAGCACCCCCTTTCCAAAAAGAAACAGAGAGTCTTCCCAGTGCCCTTGCCAGGAGAACCCCACCAGGAGCACGGCTCCCCGATGGGGTGGGTTGCTAGCTCAAGTCTGGACGCCCTGGTGGGTGGCGTGACACACCAAGTTATTTATCCACAGCAACGAGGTATCCATGAGAACCTTCCCCAGCAGGAGCGCCCGCTGGCTCTGGGCGGAGAGGTCTGTCTGCGGCTGGCTGGCGGGCAAGGGAGCTGGAATTGGGGCTCTGGGGGTGTGGAAGCGAGGCTTGCCTGCTGCCCCGGTCTGTCCTGGAAAGTGACTGGCAGGACTTCTGGGTGGGCAGAGCTCTGCGGTAGACCTCTGGCCTCCCTCCCCTGCCTGCTCCCTCCGGGCCGGTGCGGGCATGGGAACGGGGCAGGCCCGCCGGGCTCACGGCAGGGAACCCTTCTCTCGGGCTTTGCACCTGGGTCACGTCACCACAACCGCTCCTGGGAAGACTGTGGTGTGAGGCCGGCTCCCTTTCTCAGAAGGTGACACACAGCAGGAAAGCATTCAGCCCCCGGCGTGCGACCACAGAAAAAAAAAAAAAAAAAAAAATGATGCTGTCTTGTAAAATCAGACAATGATGAAAAATAGATTTAAATTTCAAGCCCTGATTTGTCTCTTTATAGAGAACTTCCCAGATCTTGACTGGGGCCACAGAAGTGGGGGAGGGCGTGAAGGGTCAGGCAGAGGGGGTGCGGGGCTGGACACGCAGCCCCTCCCCCACAGGCACCCCACTCCCGGCAAAAACGGACCTAGAGTCGGAGCCCACGAGGGACACTCCGCCTCTCTAGTAGGCGGGAAATGCAAATTAAGACAAGGATACGGCCCTTTTCACAGATCACATTGACAAAATTAAAACTCCTCTGATAAGATCAAAAGTCGGTTAGGATGTGGGGAAGTCGCTACCCTCACGCTGCCCATGGAGGGTGAGCGGCCAGCCCCGCACGGGGAGGCAGCCCCACACGCCCCCAAACGGGCAGGCGTCTTCGCCCAGCGCCGCCGCGTTCTCCACGTTCCTGCTTCTGCCGAAAGGGGGCGCACCCGGCCCCACCGTCCATGCCAGGCTGTGCCTCGCATTAGCAAACGGACAGAAAACAACGGCGGGAACCTTATCCCCATCCTGCAGGGATGTAAATGAACTACAGACGCCCCCCACCCCCCCCGCAGGTCGGAATGCTACGCCGCATTTTCAAAGACCCGCGGCGGCTCTGTAAGTTCCGGCGGGGAAAGCATCCCGAGGCGTGCTGGGGGCGCTGTAAACGCCGGACGAAGAGCTGGGTGTCCCTACGGTGCTGCGTATGGGAAACCCTACAGATTTCTGAGGAACCGAAGCAACAATGGCAGTTACATCTCAGAACGAATCAGGATGAGGCGATGCCCAAACATTGCCCTTGTTTGTAGAGTTTCAATTTCTTGCTTAAAGGACATATTTACATATTCCTTGTGTAACGAAACATCGTTCAAAGAGAGGTGTCGCTCTATAGAGAGGAAGCACATGAGCTCCAACCACCAAATACTAGCAAAGCCCTCTGAGTCCCCCTCTCATGTTTCTTCCTCCCTTTACCCCCGCAAGACCTTGGTGCCCCAAGCTCTCACCTCCCCCGGGGGCCGGGAGGGCTGGGGGTGGTGGCAGGGTGCTTCTAGTGTAGCCAGAATCTCTGTCCTATCACTACACCGTCAGCAGCCCCTTCTGCCCTCTGTTGGGAGGGGGGGTGTCTCACATTGTCCCAATGAAGAGGGATGGGGTCACCTGCTTGTCCCCCTTTTCCCACCCACACCCTCCTTCCTGTGCCTCAACCTACCCAACTACTCTCTACCCCCTGACCCAGGGTTCAAAAGAATATTGCTGATTCCCTCCTTCCCTCCCTAGACTTTCTTCAGCCAGTGGCCAGTTTAGGGACCAGGGAGGTGTAGCAGGGAGAGCCCCAACCCCAACCTCTCCTCGCCAAGGGAAGGCCCCGCCTGGCCTGCCCAGACCCCGGGGGACCTCACCTGATCTGCCCAGGACCCCCATCCACAAACAGCCCCGTCTCCTGCAGGCAGTCCCCTGAGCTCAGTGAAGGATAACTAGGTGAAAAATCCTTGTTTCTGCCAGGGCGGGGGCAGGCGCCCCGCCAGCCAGCCAGCCAGCCACCCTCCCACCTATCACACTTGCATTTTCTGATCCCCCACCCCCGCTTGTCACCTGCGCCCCCTCACTCCAGCTGAGCGAGGAATGAGGCAGGGGTGTCCCTGTCCTTCCCTGCATCCCACGTGCCTCACACTCCCCAGGGCTCAGGGCAGTGGTGGGAGGGAGGGGGGTGTGGGCCGCTGGCCTCCCCAGCACCCACCCACCCCCGACGCCCCCTTACCTGTGGGAAGGCTCGGAGCGCCCCCAGGAGCAGCAGCAGTGCCAGCACAGCGCGGAGGGCGCGCATCGCGGCAGCGGAGGGCTGGGCGCGTCGCTCGGTCCGGCCAGGCAGCCCGCCGCCGGCAGACCGGCCGCGCACCTCGCTGGTGAATTCAGCCTCAACTCTTCCCTCTCTCTGCCTCCCGGAGGGAGGCGCAGCGGTTAACCCAGAACTGCTTCAAAGAATGGACCGCTGGCAGCTGAAGAAAAAAAAAGAGGGGCCAGACACGTGCAGAGATGACTCAGAACAGGTCACACACCCCTTTTGCTGTTTGAATGGTGCGCCCTGGATCTGGCCGAAGGGGTAGGGATGTCCCCAGTTACAGGAGACGGAAGGGGGTCAGGCAGGGCAGCTCCCACCCCTGGCGGGAGGCATTCACAGGAGACTGAGAGCCTCCAGCTGGTCCCAAAGGTCAAGGAAAAGCAAAACCCGAGCAGGTCCTTGCTCCTGGCACTCTGACCCACTCAGACCTCCTGACCTGCTCTGCAGATGGTTTGGGAGACACACTGGGGCAGGAAGACTGCAGAGAAGGCCACCCCCCGTCACTCACCCCCCCATTCATATATTTTCACTGTAAGGTGAATCAGCCAGATGGATGAGAGGAGGATGGGGGGCTGGATGAGGGGATAAAAGGATGGGTTGGGGGGGGGGTGAGTGGTTGGATGGGGAGAGGGGTGGGGGGGGTTGATGGAGGGGTGGATGGGTGGATGTATGGATAAATGGGTGAGTGGGTGTATGGATGGGTGCTTAGTGTTTGGGTGGTTGAGTGAATGGGTGGGTGGATTGATAGGTGGATGGGGTAGGTGGGCGGATAGATGGGTGGTGGGTGGGTAGGTGGATGGATAGATGGGTGGTGGGTGGGTAGGTGGATGGATGAATGGGTGGTGGGTGGGTAGATGGATGGATGAATGGGTGAGTGGGTGAGTGGATAGGTAGTGGATGGATGGATGAGTGGGTGGGTGTATGGATGGGTGGGTGGATAGATGGATGGATGGGTGGTTAGTGTTTGGGTGGCTGAGTGAATGGGTGGGTGGATTGATAGGTGGATGGGGTAGGTGGGTGGATAGATGGGGTGGTGGGTGGGTAGGTGGATGGATGAATGGGTGGTGAGTGGGTGAGTGGATAGGTGGTGGATGGATGGGCGGGTGGATGGATGGATGGGCAGGTGGCTGGGGTGGGTGGGCAAGTGAGGGGATGACAAGTGGGGGCGTGGGCAGACGATCGAACACACAGGTGGACTGACTATTGGAGGGACTGATGGAGAAAAGGAGGGAACATTTGGCCATCAATTCACAGGTGTTTCCCTGCCCCCTGGAGTTCCCTGCCTAGAGTAGGAGGCCACTGGCCTCAGCCTGAAAGAAAGACACCGTACACGCCCCGCTGGAACCCGGTTCTCGTCGGCAGCGGGATGACCTTCCCTCCCGGTGCTTCTCTGTCCTGCGGGTCACCCGCGCCTTTCACCCTGCACCCCGCACACGCTCGCCGGGGGCCAGGGAGGCTGCAGGCCAGGGGCTCACTTGCTGGTCTTGTGCTCGTTTTGTCCAGGTGTGTAGAAACGGAAGCTCGGAAACAGGCAGCCGGTCTCCGGAGCTCTGACGGCTGTGCCTGCGTCCGGCACGGCCCAGGGACCCCGGGACTGTGCGCCTCAGTCTGTCCTGCACGGTGTCCTGCCAGGCCCCCGTCCGGTCAACCCGGCCCGTTGGTGGTTGTCACCCACCAGGGCCCTCCCAGCCACCTCTCTGGACCCGACCCTCCCCTGCCCCACACCCTCCTTGAGCTCCTGCACTCCACTTGGAGAAACGGCCCCAGTTGGCTGCCCTCCCAGGAGACCCACTTCTGGACTCTGCCCTGGCGGCACCGGGCCTGAGATGTTGAGCTGGGACTATGTTTTTTGCTTTGTTTTTTTGTTTGTTTGTTTTTCAATTTATAGAGAGGGGAAGGTTGAGAGAAGGAGAGGGGAAGAAACATCATTGTGAGAGAGAAACATCAATCGGTCGCCTTTTGCACACACCCCAAGTGGGGACCCACAACCCAGGCATGTGCCCTGCCTGGGAATTGAACCAGTGACCTATCGCCTTGTGGGATGGCGCCCAAACCACCGAGCCACGCTGTCCAGGGTGAGCTGGCACTGTCTTGAACAATGAAGTAAGTGATGATGGCAGTGACCCCGCCTGGTGTCCACAGAACCAGGCAGGAGCAGGGGCAACCCTGGATGCCCGCTGCCCAGTCCAGAACTTTCCGCCACAGAACGGCTGGGGCTCTGAATACACGTGTGCTTGTCCAGTGCGCGCGCACCATCAGACGGCATCTGGATGCCCGACACCAGGGGAAATACAAACGAACGTTAATTACACGGTTTAAAAGTTCCATCTTTCTAGCAATTGAAGAGATGCAAATTAAAACAATCTTTGATCCTGTTAAGACGTTAAATCATCAGGGTGTTTTTTTTTCTGCTTTATAGAAACAACTCTGGTAAAATCCCACCCCGAAGTGGGGCGTGCGCTCACACTTTGCTGGTAAATTACAACCCTTTTCAGAAAGCAGCCGGCGGTTCTTAGCAAAGTCCCCCTGACCACCCACAAAACAAAGTGTTTACGACTCATGGCTCAGTAATCCACCCTAGAAAAGAAAAACTAAGGAAAAAGGAAACTATAAGCACAGTAATGTTTCCTAAAGTATTATTTATATATTTTTGGAAAATACCCCAAGAATCCCAATGACAGAGAACAGTTAAGTAAAAAGTGGTATATCCCTTTAATGGAATGCCACACACCCCCTAAACAAGGTCTTTATAACAAGGGTACATGTCCTTCCCTTCTGCCCCCCCCATGGGCTTCTTCTAAAGGGGCCACTCTCCTAGCCCCCTCCACAAGAACCCTTGCACAAGAGAGGTGGGGGCGGGGAGGCCGAGGTTAGGGTTCCCATCACCTGAAAAATCATAGTATTTACTTTTTTACCCTCACCCGGGGACATTTTTTTATCTCTTTTAGAGAGAGGAAGAGAGAAAGAGAAACATGGATGAGAGAGAAACATTGATCGGTTACCTCTCATAAGCCCCACCGGGGTTTGAACCCGCAACCTACGCGTGTGCCCCGACTGGGAATCAAACCCGCAGCCTTTTGGTGTACTGGACTATGTTCCAACCAACTGAGCCACACCGGTCAGGACAAAGAGCATCAGTTTAATGGCAATAATAGAGGCCTTTGAGGGCTTACGTTTTGCCACGAGTTTCCAGCCATCGGCTTCTTCCATCCTCAGGGAAACTCCCTGGAGAAGAACCTACTTTGAGTCCACTCTGCAGGTAGGACGCTGAGGCCCGGAGCAGCGGCTCCACCAGGCTCCCTAGAGCCAGTGGTACTCAAGGCCCTCCCGGCCTCGCTTCAGTTCCAGCCCTTCCCCCGCTCCAGCCCCGCGCCCCCCTGCCCCCTGCACGTCTCTGCCCACACGGGTCCTCCGCAGAGACTCCCGTTTGTCATCAGAACCTGCCCCAGCGCCACCTCCTCTTTGCTGCCTTCCTGGCACTGTCCCCCGCCCCTCCTCCCCCCACCGCCTTCCCAGTCAGAAAGGCGAAATGTTTCGGTGGTTCTCTGAGGCTCTGATCCAGCGCTGATCTCACTGGGCCAGGGCGGTGATGACTGGCTCACGCATCCATCTGCCCCCGGGAAACCGTGGGCCCCTGCAGAGGTTCCCTGGGGAAGCAGGAGGCCTGGGAGCCCTGGGCAGCCTGGCCCACGGCTGGGAGGGAGCCACTGGGCTGGATCCCGGGGAGGCACCTCTGCTGCAGAAAGTGCCGAAGCCTCGAAAAGCAGCAGCTCGTGGGATTCTAAAGAGAAGGCCCTGGATGCAGGTGACTCAGGGTGCAATGCCTTCTGCAGGTTTCAGGCATCCTTGAACCCCCAACGCTTGTGAAAGTGCTTTGAAGAGCCAGGAGGGGAAGTCCCTCGGGCCCCCATGAGGCTCAGCAGCGGGCCCTGTTGTGGGATCGCAGGGGGTCAAAGGCCCCAGCCGGGGCAAGCTGCAGGAGCCAAGCTGCCCGCCTGCAGGAGGCCAGCAGGTGAGCGGCGGCTCTCAGAGGAAGCGGTGGAAGGCAGGTGCACCAGAGAGCTCGCCAGAGGGAACTGGGAACCTGTGTCACCAAAAGGACGCTGAGCAAGACACCAGGCTCAGACTTGGTTCAGGAAACTCAGGGACTTCCCCGATAGCTGGGAACCCCAGCCCCAAATGGCCCCAAAATACCCTCCGCCGATAAAGGGATTCTTTCTGCTGCAGGCAGCCGCGGACAGGTAGGAGGCTGAAAACCGGAGGGGGAAAGCCTGCCTTCTTCGGCTCCGGTTGGCCCGGTACTTTTCGGAGAACCTTTCCCAAGAGGCTGGATGAAAGCGGGACCCTTCCTCAAGGGGTCTCTCTAACCCAAGCCCCCAGAACCCTCCCCTCCTCGAGGCCCAGGACACCGGCTGGTCCCCAGGACAGCGATGAGAAGTGGCCGCTGAAGACCAGCCTCACGGAGCTCACTCCTCCGCGTTGGGAAGGAACACACGTGAGGGGCTCCCGGCTGCCTGGGTGAACCCCAGCAACACGTCGCCACAAACACAACCCCCAGGCCCTTGGCCAGGCGTTGAATCCTGGCAGCAAGACTTCACGTCAGTACCGCTCTCTGGACTTCACGGAGGAACACACGGAGGCTCAGGGCAGTCAAGGGACTCGCCCGAGGTCACACAGCCTGAGCGTGGCAAGGCTGGGAGGGATTTGGCTCCGAACCTGACTTTCCAGCCTCAACTGCCTCCTCTTTCCGGTCCAGGCCTCTGCTGCCCTCGCTGTTCCCGGAAGAAAGACAAGTGAGTAGGTGTCCTGGCCTGGCCACGTGACCGTGACCGTGGGCACGTTGCTTCTCTTCTCTGAGTGTATTCGTTGCCTAAACGTAGCAGCTTGAAGCAACAAGAAACATTATGTCCCCTGCGTCTGCGCGTCAGCCGTTCGGGAAAGGCTGGACGGGGTGACCCTGGCTTGGGGTCTGCCTCGAGGTAGCAATCAAGATGTCAGCTGGGGCTGCCGTCCCCTGCAGGCTCTGGGCGGGGGAGGGGTGCTTCCAAAATGAGCCCCTCGGCAGCTGGGGGCAGGAAGCTGCTCAGCACCCTCCAGAGGGGCAGCGGGTCCCCTCCAGGGCCAGCGAGCCCCCGAGAGCAGGAGGGAAGCCACATCGTGCTTTGTGACCACGCCTCAGAAGTCACACTTTGTCGTGTCCACGAGGCTGGTTACGCGGCTGGCTCTCCCCAGCGTGGGTGGGCACTGCAGAGGTACGTGAATCCTGGGAGACAGGTGGGGGTCCTTGGGACATAGCTCCCTCCCTGGACTCGAACACAGCCAGGCAGCCTTCCAGGGCTGCGGTGAGCCCGGAATAAAACAGCGGGCAGCCCTGGCCAGGGGGCTCGGTTGGTGGAAGTGTCGTCCCATACAGCAAAATGTTGGGGTTCAATTCCCGGTCAGGCCACATGCCTAGGTCGCAGGTTCAATCCCCGGTCAGGGTGCATACACAAAAGGCAACTAACTGAAGTTTTTCTCTCACATTGATGTCTCTCTCTCCCCCTTCCTCTCTCTCTACAAACAATAAACATATCCTCAGGCGGGGATTAAAAATAGATACATAAAAATAATAATTAAAAAATAAAACAGTAGACAGACAAAGCTCATTAAAGGGCTTAGCTGCCCTTCACTCCACCCCCACAGGGCAGCCTGCCCCCTGCTCCGGCCCCAGACCCCTGCATTTGGGACCACAGCTCGAGTGCTCGGAGCCTGGGGGTCCCCTTCTCAGGGGACGAATGTAACACGGCATTCACCGCTCCAGCCCACAGTGGGTCCTGCAGGGCTCCGGGTGCTGTGGCAGGGCCACGGGCAGGCCAGAACCGTGGGGGCAGAGGTCTTCCCCGGCGGGGATGCCCCCCCAAAGCCCAAAGTGGGCTCCACTGTGCTCCAGTTCAGCAGGCAGCAGCTCTGGGTGAGCAAAGAGCAGACAGAGGGTCGGGCGCCTGGGCTGCGGCCCAGGGCTGCAAACGGCCCTGTGACTCCCCTTCCGGGCCTCAGCACCTTGACCTGTAAAATCCAGGGCCGGGACCCGATGTCTGAGGCTCCAGGGAGAGTCGGGCAGGTAGGAGGTGTGGAGGTGCTCTTCCTGTGCGAGGCCTGGGGACACTTCCAGCTCTGTTCCTCGGGGCTGTTGCAAACCCTAGAACCATCCAGGGTCACCTCCTGTCTCTGCCTCTGACTAGCTGTGTGGATTTCGGCAAGTCACTCGCCCTCTCTGAGCCTCGGTCTGTCCATCTATAAAATGGAACCAGTGATACCCGCGGCAAAGGGCTGCAGTGAGGAGGAGGAGACAGGTGAGCGTGGAGAGCACCACGGGGGAGCCCTGCTCTGCCAGGCTGAACCCCGGGAGGCCATGAACCCTCCTGAGCCCCTGGGACTGGTGGCTGGGAGGAATGTCCGCTGTTGTTTCCAGTTCCCAGTGCCTCCTCCCACCTTCCAGAGACACGCCGAGGAGGACGCTAAGGCCGGAGAGGGAAAGAGACGTGGCCAAGGCCCACAGCACAGGGGGCATGACCCCAGGGGCCCGAGTCCCCGCCATGGAGCCCCTGTCTCCCCCCAGACCTTCCTGCTCGCGGGGCCGTTGTGAGTGGAGTGAGTCACTTAGGTGCTCAGGAAACCAAGCCTAGTCCAGTATTAATCACAGAACCAGAGGTGTTGAGCACAACAACAGAAGAAGAAAAAAAAACAGAAGCAACCAAGGGAGACGGCAGCTCAGTCAAGGGCAGCGTGGGTCCTGGGCGTTGTCGGTGCAGGGAGGTCCCCGACGCTATGCACCCGGGCAGGAGGGCCTGGGGCAGCCCCTCAAGAAAGAAAGAACCAGCCCTGGCCCAGTAGCTCAGCTGGTTAGAATGTCGTCCCAACAGGCAGAGGTTGCAGGTTCGATCCCCAGTCAGGGCACATACAAAAACCAACCAATGAATGCATAAATAACTGGAACAACAAGTCAGTATTTCTCTCTCCCTCCTTCCCTCTTTCCCTCCCCCCCTCTAAAAAATCAATTTAAAATAAAGGAATTAAAAAAGGAAAGAAAGAGAGAGAACTGTTCCTCACCAGGCCCTTCCCATCCGAGAAACCTCACCCCGCACCCCCGCCATGAGCACTGTCCCCACCCACAGGGAAAATCAAGGCTGGGGTCTGCTAGCATCTCTGGGCAGGGGGCAGGGGGAGGGGAAGACACCCCCAGGGCAGCGGTCTTACCCAGTGCGGCTCAGTGTCTGCCCCCAGGTAGGTGTCCAACAAAAAAATTCAGAACGAATAAGCCAAAGGCACTTATTCAGAGATCCCTGGCACAACAGCCCTACTAAGTAACAGTATTTTTGAAAAATCCATGAGAAAACAGATGTTCAAAGAAGCCACCTGAACAAGCCACGCAGTCAGTATGTCCTAGAGCCACAATTCGAACCCATGTCTGTGACTCTGAAATGAGCCTCTGCCCCCCTACCAGGGCTGGCCCTTGTGCCACCCCACCCCCCGGCCCCCTACCCCAGCCCCTCATCTCCCTGGGACCCGCTGTGGCTCCCGCAGTTGTCGGCGGTAAGGGTCTCGCCCTCCGGGAGCTGACTTTGTGTTCCCTGTCACCCCACCTCTTCCCTGTGCTCCCCGGGCAGGCTGTCAGGTCGGGAGGGCCCCCCCAAGGACCAGCCCCGGAAGGTGCGAAGGGGCCGGAAGGCGCCCTGCCCTGCCCTGACACGGCGGCCTACGACCCAGAACCCTCGAGAAGCTTCGCCTTCCTGAGGGCTGAGAACGGAGAGCCCCGAGGACAGACAGTGATGGAGGAGGGAGGCTCCTTCTGCCGCCTGCCCCTCAGCCTCGAGTTCCACCCTTACTCCTCCTTCGGGTGGAGGCAGTGAAGGCCCCCGCGAACATGTAAATCGTGTCTAGGGGAAACCAGTGGCTAGTTCACTCGCGAGAGGCACTGCCCCGCACGCCGGTTTCTCAGAAGAGCCTGGGTGGAAACGGGGCTCCGGGCTCGGACGGCCAAGTGCGGCGAGGCTGCTCGCGCACCCGCCACCAGCGCCGGTCACCAGGGCGGGGAGCCTGGGGGGCGCTCAGAGTCAGCCTGCAGCTTCCCACCTCAGGCACCAAGGCCCCCAGCTGGGAGTCCCGCTCCCCCCAACTTATCCCCTGCCACTGTCCCCACTGGCCTCCTCCCTGCCCCCCCTGGAGCCACCAAGCTTGTCCCTGCCCCAGCGCGTGGTGCCTGCCCACCCCTCCGTCTGAAATCCTACTCCCCAGCTCTTCCAAGCGCGCCCCCTCCAAGGAAGCTTTGGGG